ATCTGCCTTCCTGCAATTATCTTTATCAGCAGGCGTCTGGTCAGTGCTTAGGGTCCAGGAATATAGCATCCCATTTAAGATAGTCACAGATATCCAAGGACATAGAAGACGTAGAATCACTTCCTGCCCAAGCTGCTGCTCTGGTTTTACCTCACTCAAAAGATTCTTAACACCTTACACTTGCTTTCACCTCAGTTTCCTGGTGATTTTTGTTCAGGAAATTTACGGCCTTGTGTTTTACTCTCAAGGACAGCAGAACGGATAATTAACAGCAACCCAGAGAAAGAGGCACTGTGGATTGCGTTGGGTGGGCTACACAGTCTAGGGGTTTGTAACCCACCCTGCAATCAAGTTACTCCAGGGTCTCGGAGGGGCGCTACCTGGAAGGGAATGAGCTAAGACAGAAGAAGGAGGCCAAGCAGATTTGTCAAAGCCTCCGTTTATTAGGGATGGGTTACAGTTTATATATGGTAAGGAATGGGGGGCAGGGCACGGGATCTCGCCGGCCGCGTGGTCCCGGTCACGTAGGCCAGGAGGTCACAAGTTGCCACACCTGGTTCCCTGGATAGCTGGAATGTGAGGCGGGTTCCGCTAAGATTAGCAGTTAATTGGGTGAGGGGCAGGTTTTGTCAATAGTACATAACTATGGGTGTGAGGTTCTCTGCAGACTCCCTAGGGTGATGGTTCCTGTAATGATTGGGGGGAAATGGCTCCTGACAAGGCACAATACCCACGATCAGAATGGCTGATAACAGCATAGCCTGGGACTGATTGATAATTTAGAGGTCTGGGTCTCTTCTTCGCTTAGAGCAGTGAGTCTAACTCCAGACCTAGGCCTGTAGAAATTATAGTGCCTGGTGTATGTGCTATCAGATTCAGGGATCATTAGCTTCCCCTTGACTGTTTATGTAGGTTGCCACGGTGAATTAGATGGTGAAATGTGCCCATTATCCCCCTGTTCCTGGACTAACTGCTGGGCAACTTGTATTTTTCTTGTGTTAGAGGCCACTGATTTACCCTTACAGGTTCATCGCTTTTCCATACTATTGTGTCTGCATGGAGTGCAGGTTTTTCAGTGACCTCTCCTAAAAATACCCTAATCCTGCCCTAGGAGGTCTACCATCTGGTATGATAGGATCGATCTTTCCCTTATTTTCCTTGCCTAGACTTTGATAAGGTAATAATTCTTGTTGAAACATTTGATTAGTAACGGCTGTGCTAGGGGAATATAAATATACCCCCATTCTGGACATAATATCTTGGCCCCATAAATTTATGGGTAAGTAAGGAATAATATATGGCTGGAAAGTTTCCTCATGGCCTTCTTCACCTTCTCAATGCAGCTCATTACTACCCTGTTCAGGATTTTTTTTTTTTTTTTTTAATATTTATTTGTTTATTATGCATACAATATTCTGTCTGTCTGTATGTCTACACGCCAGAAGAGGGCACCAGACCTCATTACAGATGGTTGTGAGCCACCATGTGGTTGCCGGGAATTGAACTCAGGACCTTTGGAAGAGCAGGCAATGCTCTTAACCACTGAGCCATCTCTCCAGCCCCCCTGTTCAGGATTTCTAGTCTGACCAATTCCTTGTATTTGTGTAATACTCTCTGTTTTTGGGCCACTTAGAAGGCCATTGATGGGTGGTTATAATCAAAATATCCGTGCCAGTATCCAGAAGACCAGAAAATCCTTTTCCATTTATAAACAAGTTAGTTCTGGTTTCTGAGGACCTACGTCTTGTAGCCAATATGCGTCAGATGAACCAAATCCGTCCTTTTCTCTTTTCTTTTCTTTCTTGCTTTGACTTTTGATTTGCACAGCCGGAAGTACAATTAACTGTGCAAGCCTCTGACCTGCTTTTACTACAGAAACTCCACTTGGTGAGGAGTCATCACCTTGATCTCTCCCTCAAAATCAGCATCAATGGCTCCAGGAGCAACAACAATTCCTTGCATAGTTGAGCTACTTCTCCCTAACAATAATCCTACAGTGCCTTTTGGTAAAGGCCCATAAACCCCCATGGGGAGAGCTTGCATCCTCTCTTCAGGTGTCAGAACCGACCGTGTATACAGAAGAGCTGAAACCAAAAGTCAAGCCTGCACTTCCTGGGGTTGCTCTGAAAAGGTCCAATATAGATTTCCATGTGGGGGAACAGATTGCTGGATTGCCCCATAATTTTGTCTCTGGGCCTGAGGCTGGCCCCAGCATCTGTTTCCCAAAAGGGGATTTCCTAGATCATCTCTTTTTGATCTGCACTCACTAGTACAATGTTTTCCTCTCCTGCATAATCCTGGTTCTCTTCTTGTCCTCCGGTTTACTCTATCAGGACATTGTCTGACCTGATGCCCCATAAGACTGCATCCGAAACAGCCTCCAGGAATTCCTGTAGTTTGCATTCTTCCTGGGCCTAGGTCGCTCTGTTGGGGTAAGACATCATTAGTTCTTTCCCTGCAAGGCAGCAGGTATGGCCATTCCCTGTGCTTATGATTGGCCGATATCCGAGCAAAATCAGATATAATCTGCAATGTTACCCTGCTTTTTAAAAGGTCTTAGAGCCACCTTACATATAACATTGTTGTTCTCAAAGGCTAGCTGTTTAATTATTACCTGCCCTGCTTCTGTGTCTCCAATCAACCTATTAGATGCCTGGAATATGTTGGTCTGGAAACAAAGTCCTGAAACAACTCATCTGGTCCCTGTCTTATACTAGATAACTCCTCAGCCTGTTCTTTTGATGATGGAAGTCTACTCCAGGCCTTCTTGGTCGCTGAATTAATTTGGACATATGTTGCCATATCAGATTCTAACTGCTGATCTGTTCCCGTATAAGGTCCCTCACCTGCAGCATCTCATACGAAACAGGAGTCTGCTCAGCTCTGTTTCTCTCAGATGTGGCCTGACATTGTTCTACAAACCCAGCTTTCCGCAATAGATAATCTTCTGACAGGCAAGCCTTGGCTATCTACTTCCAATCCGCTGGCGGCAGAGCTTCTACCACTATATTTTCTAACAGCGTCTGGGTAAATGGCGCTGTAGGACCATACTGAGTGCAAGCAGTTTTTAATTCTTTGAGTAACTTAAATGATAGAGGAGTATGTATCCTAAGCAAATTTCCTTGCGCATCTCTTTGCTCTATTACGGGGATACAATTGAAATCCTTGTATCTCTTCCCCTCTGCTGGTGGCTTCTCTGCTACAAGCTTATTAAGGAGATTCATTACTGTTGCTGTGCATCTGCTTTACTTTTGGAGTGTTCTATACCATAGGCGGATCTAAACCAGCTATTACGGTAGGAAGAGAATTGCTCTTTGGACAAGAGTCCTGGATCTGCAGAGTTTCTAGTCTGCGTGATAGCGGGGTTACCATCCTTCTCAAGCCTTTTAGCTCCTTCTGAACCTCCTTATTCTGTCCCTGTCTCTCAGCATGGCTGGTTGCTAGATGAAGACTCCCCTTCATAGTCTAAGCCATTAGTCTCTGACTGATTATAACCACTCAGTTCTATAGAAGCATCTAACCATCCCTCCGGTGGTGCAGAGGGAAGTACCTCCCGCTGGTCAAGATTTAAGTCCAACCTTTCCTGTATTAGCATCCTGAAAAAAAGCATGTCTACAGGGATGCTTTCTGGTCCATAATTACAATAATGTTCAATCCTTATCCCTACTTCTTTCCTAAAGTACTGTGCTCAGAAAACCGAGGGCATATCTCCTCTATAAATTCTAAAAATTCCTGTATCTGATGCTGCTGTGCTCTTTCTCCTCTGTCCTTTAAAATATCTCCAATCAGCCAGGCGATGGTGGCGCACGCCTTTAATCCCATCACTCGGGAGGCAGAGGCAGGCGGATCTCTATGAGTTCGAGACCAGCCTGGTCTACAAGAGCTAGTTTCAGGACAGGCTCCAAAACCACAGAGAAACCCTGTCTCGAAAAAATAAA